TTCTGGTCATTAGTTGCCAGGCAACCTTGTATCTCCTGATACTAACTTTGCAAAGGTGGAAATAAATACCCCTGCTGTTGCTGTATGGATCCTTTGCCTGTCGGGCAGAGGCCTCCGCTGAACCCAGCTCTTGTCTGTCTTTGTCTCATTCCTGCTGCCATCTCTCTGCAGGGTCCACCAAGAAACCAAATTTCGTCTGTCTGCCTACCCTTGACAGACAAACCTTCTGCAAGTTGACCAGACCTGCAGAGGAGACCCTTGTCTGAGGCTGAGTCCACCCTGAGTGCTGGGATCACAGGTGTGTGCCACCGCGTCTGACTTTCTTTGGCTCTTAAAATTTGAAGATGTCTTAAGGCCTTTGAGCTTCATAATATTAATAGTTAATGTTTTTCAATGGCCTCCTATGTACCATGCACAGTTGAAGTGTTCTTCATTTATTAATTCACTCAGTACCGACAACTCTCGAAGTAGGTACTGTTCCTTTCCCCTTTTGCAGACAAAGATACTGAAGAACAGGCAGATAAAGTAAGTTGTCCAAGGTATCATGTCCGGAGCTCATGCCCTTTCTTGGAACTTTGATTTAAAAAATAAATAAAATGAAGCTGGTAGACCCACTTGACTCTGACCACTATTCAATTCCTCTTGGGTCTCTAAGGCAGTATCAGACCAGAGTTGTGACTCCACAAATACACCTGTTCACAGGCCTCAGCGCCTGCTCTCTGGATATGTTGGTGACATGCATATTCTGTGTAGCTCTTGATGCTTTGAGAATGGCTCGTCCTGGGTGCTTGGGACCAGGGAGGGGCCACTTGATTACCACAGGCTTCAGGGACGTTTGCCCAGCCAGACCAGCCTCATGTCCTGTCTTTAAAGCCACGACTCAAAATGGGATTTTGTTTTTTAGTCTATTAGTTGCCAGATGCTCTTCTATGTGTTAGGGACCTACATTGGTTATTGGAGGAAGTGGAACTTACGTCTCCCCTGGCATAGGCTGTGATGACGTCAGCCTTCCTCTGGCAGGTCCAGCGCTCTGCCCTCTGGAAGGGCAGGGCACGAGGAGGCCCTTGAACCAGAGCACATAAGGTCCTGCACTTTAGCAGGCCCCAAATCAATGATTTCCCAAATGCCTTTTAGGGGGCCAGGGAGATGGCTCAGTGGAATGAGTGCTTCGCTGGCAAGCACAAGGGCCTGAGTTCAATACCCAGTTCCGCCAAAAAAAAAAAGAAAAAGGCATCAATCCAAATGCCTTTTACACCTGGTCTTTCCATCTCTTTATACACCAAAATCTCTTTTAATTTATATCAGTTCCTATTTTCATACCATGAATCAGAGGGGCTAAGCTCCTATCCTGTAGAGTTCTGGGCTTTGGTGATTGGGTCCTTAACTCTGAGTTCTGCTGGCTTTGGTCTCCTGTCTTCCTTGTGTTTAAGGTACCTCTGTCAGTAATGCAATGAAGGAAATAGCCAACAAGCAAAGAAATAGACTAGAGTAAAGGCTGAGAAGACGAGAGTTATGTTGATTATTTTTACTCTCTAAAGAATTTATATTTGATTGGAAGTGCTCATTCCCAATACATTTGGTTAAACTCCCTGATTTTTTATTTTTTTAAAGTCTGGCCTTGATGTTTCTTTGATATGAAGATTTTGATCACTTTGGAATTTCTACAACATTTAGCTGAGTAACTGTAGATATCACAGACTTTTCAAGTACACCTGAAACATTCACAGACATTGGCCATTTTTTTTCTTAACAATTGTTTGTAAAGTCAAAGCTTAAACAAAAAATGTTTTCTAACACCATGTACTGTGCTGAAAATCAATTAGCTGAACACATAATACAAAAGTTAGCAAGAGAACAGCTGAGTAAACTCAAATAATAGAAGGGAAAGGAAATGTTACAGATAAGAGCAGAAGTCAGTGAAATAGTAAAGAAAAGTAAAGTAAATGATTTACAGTCAAATCTGGAGTTTTGGGGGTCTTTTTGGTACTGGGGATTGAGCTCAGGACACTGTGTTTGCCAGACAGGCATTTAAGCCACTGAGCTGTCTCCCTAGCCCTTAAATCTAGTTTTTAAAAAGGTTAATAAAACTGGCCTGGCAAATCTCATAAGGAAACAGGGTGATGGAACCCAGAAACTGTAGTAGGAACTGAAAGACAACATGCCATTAGGACATTAAGAGTAGCTTTATGTCAATAATTTTGAAAACTTAAATCAAATGCAAAAATTTTACATTTGCAAGCAGTAAAATTTGACTTCAGAAAAATTGGAAAATCATCAAGAGTCTTCTAACCATTTAAAACTTAAATTGATGCTCAAAATCTTACTTTGATGGGAAGCATATGGACCAGACTTTAAACTAAATCAGGGACATTTACCAAGTGAAAGCTTTTAGTTAACCACAAATTCTTCCAAAGAGTAGGAAAAATATCATTATTTCCTAATTATTTTATGAAGTTGCCTTAATCTTTATATTCAAACCAAAAACTCTTCAAAGAATGAAAAATATAGAGCTAATTTTTGCATAGACAAAATGTAAGTAAACTGAATCTAATGATATGCTTCAAAGATAATAATTTATGGCCAAATTGTGTTAAGATACATTAGAAAATCAAGTAATGTAATTCACCATGTTAACAGATAAAAAAGAGAAAACTATATGTTCATCTCAATAGATTTTTTTTTTTTTTTTGAAGGGTCTACAGGGTGTTCAGGGTCTCACTGACTGCACTTGTGGTAATTCTCTACTAGACTGCACTTGTAGTAATTCTCCTGTTTCCAGCTTCCCAAGAGCTGGGATGACAGGCACGCGCCACCACGTCCAGTCTCAATTGCCATCTCAGTGCGCCCCGGGATCGGGGGCAGGCCCGGGGATCAAACCCCTGGCCCCTGCACCTGCTCGCAGGCGCTTTAATCTGCTGAGCTATTTGGCCGGCCCTCAATAGATGTTTTTGATAAAACTCATTGTTCAAAAACTTTTACCCGGGCAGAGTGTCTGATGCCTGTAATCCTGGCCACTTAGAACACTAACTAAGGCAGGAAGATCAGAAATCCAAGCTAGCTTGGGCAATTAAGTCAGCTCCTGTCTCAAAATAAAATGAAATAAAGGTTTGGGGATGTAGCTCAGTGTTCTCTAAGCTCAGTCCCCAATATGGGGCTTGGGTAGGGGACCCAGGTACATCTAAACCAGGTATGGTGGTATGCGCCTGTGAGCCCCAGCTACTGGGGCAGGAAGATTGCTTAGCCCAGGAGACTGAGGTCAGCTTAGGCAACACAGTGAGACCCTGTTTCAAAAAGAAAACTGAAAAACTTGAAACTAAGAATATCTATTTATTTTTGGTGCAGGATCTCACTATGCAGCTCAGACTCATAGGGATCCTCCTGTTTTCAGCCTCCCCAGTGCTGGGATTGCAGGCATGTGCCGCCGCGCCCAGACTCCATCGCCAGCTCAGCACACCCAGGAGCAAGGCCAGCACGGCGCGGCATGCAGCACCTAAGCAAGCGCTTAGGCTGCTGAGCTATCTCGCTGGCCCGAAACTAAAAATATTTCAAACCCTCTTAATTTAATAAAGAAAATCTTTAAAAAAAAAATACTGTGGGACTCTTTAGTAAATGCTGAAATGCTAAGATTGGTAAGAAGACAAATCTGCCTACTTCCATCCTTTGTATCAACATTAAGTTATAGCAGGGTCAGGAGGGAAAAAACCATGTATACCAGGAACGGAAGAGAGAAAACTGCCATATTAGGCCGTGATCACAGGACTTGGGAGGCTGAGGCAGGAGGATTGCTATGAATTTGAGGTCGGCCGGAGCTGCAACTTGAGTTCAAGTCCAGCCTGAACTGCATAGCAAAACCTTGTCTCAAAAAGGCCAGACAAGCAAAGGAAACAAAGCGAAGCAGCACAAAGCCGTGCTGCATCTACAGCCAGCAGGGTTGCTCTTGCCTGTGGAGATGCAGCTCGGGGTGGAGCCCGGCACACGATAGGCCCTCAGAATAATCTATTAGATACATGAATGTGTGATCAAGTGGCGGAAAGTGTGTTGAAATAATCCACACTGTTAGCACATTTGTCTATTTGTAGCCCTGTCTGATTTTGCACTATACATTTTGAAACAGTATTCACTTTCAAGATTGGAATTTTTATATTTTGGTGGAAAAAAACTCTAATTGTTATGCTGGGGCTTACTTTATTTTGTGTGCTTTTATTTATTTATTTTCCCCCTGAAGTCCCCCCGCCGCCCAGTTTGAATACTAAAGCATGTACATTTGCTTTTTTTAATCGTTTTTTAAAA